TGTCAAGATGACAAATTCTCTGACTATATAGCTTGAAACTTTGTTAATATATATATCTCGTAAATATCAGGATACACTGTTGAGGCTTCAGTCTTCATGAAGCTCCCGGTGATTGCACTTCCTGATCCCCGTCGTGTTTGTCTATACAGACTTAAACTTACATACATGTATGTCTTTATCTGAGGAAGATAACATGGTGTGACGGTTCCTCGCACGTCTGATAACTTTCTCAGCAGCGTCTAGGTCTCTGCTTACTAATCACGACGCCAAATTCATAATGTGTGTGGAACGTGGGATTTTTTTTTTTTTTTACAGTGAACATGACAAGTCACGTAGTGCCCGGAAAGAAAAAAAATATTGACAAACTTGTCCATCTCGAGTAAAATAAAAAAAAATCTAGCCCCTTGTAAGATTTGTTCTATCTGAACGTAAACTACGTAATTTTACGTTCGTAACTCGATTAGACGATTAACTCTGTACGTGGAAATTAATTGGCTCGCTGCTCGTCGACACTGACAGAACAGCCCTTCAAAAGGAGGGGTGAGGCCTTGATACCCATGAATAGCTCTTGATATAAGAAACTAATTAGCCTCTCCTTCTTCGGGTCAAACTTGATTACCTACTATTCTTCACGTGCTCTGTGACCTCAACAGCTTGAACACTTTCCCATTATTTTATATGTATATATTTTGCATATATTTGACAAGTCAGATTCAAGGTTTTGCCATCACGGTAAATTTTTCTTCACATCAAGATAGAGTTAAACTGTCGGTTTTCTCATCAATGTTGTTGAGATTTTTACGTATTTGTAGTCCAGAGTTCATAGATGAAGAAATATCCAAAATTTATGAAATAGCTAATGATCTAAAATACCCAAGAAATGTAATTGATAAATCTTTTAAAACTGCTAGAAATACTTTTTACAATCCAAAAAGGAACACTCACCCTTGTTCAGCTAAAAATATGTTGGTTCTCCCTTACCATGAAAACTTGGTTGATATGCCTTCTCTTCTTAAGACTTTTAATATCAAAATTGCATTTAAAAATCTTGATACAGTAAAAAAAACTTTTGATAAAGAATTCCCCCCAAAATACTGACGGATGTGTCTATAAGATTCCTTGTAAAATTTGCGATAAAGTTTATTACGGCCAAACTGGTAAAAATCTCGAACTAAGATTATAACAACATAAATATAGCATTAGAACTGGACAGGATTCTAATGCTCTATTTATTCATGTGAGAGATTTCAACCATCCAATTGATTTTCAAAAGGCAGAGAAAGTTGTATCAAGCAAGTCCATGGTCAACAGGAATATAATTGAATCCTGTTTCATAAAAAAGCAATTTTGAAAATAATATGAATATTTCCTTTGGTTTATATAAATTAGATTCATTATTAATTGATAAAATTTGGGAAGAATTTAATGATACATTAAACAAGTAATAAATCTTAATTCTCGGGTAGAGTATTAGGTGGGTTTCACAGAGTCGGGTGTCGTCAGGCGTGTGTGAGGTTGCTTTATTGTGGGATGTGATGGTGAGGTGTAGTCTTGACCCTTTATATGCCTTCCTTTGACGTTTTGTTTTTATAATTCCTTAATAATGTGAGAAGTCACGAAAGCACTTGGAATTTCACTATTCTTTCACAATGGGTGTTTTGCATATTCTGATACCACCTTTTACTGTGATCTTATTGCATATATATATATAAATATATATATATATATATATATATATATATATATATATATAATAATATATAATATAAAATATATATATATATATATATATATATAAAATATATATATATATATATATATATATATATATAATATATATATAGCCGTGCCAAATATGCAAAACTGGTCAATTAGCAAGAACTCATTTAAAATTAAGTCCTTTCCAAAATTTTCTCTTATACGTTTAAAGATATATTTTTTTCATTAATGTTAATGAAAAAAAAATTTTTATTTTGCACCAAAAGAATCTTAGAAAACTTACCTAAAACCCTTATTATAACAAGAGCAATTTAGTTTAGCCTAACCCAACTAAATATATTTTTAAATACGTTCACAATAATTTAGTACTAAAGAAACACAATCAAATATATTTTTTTCATTAGCTTCAGAATGATTTTGGCGAAATTATTGCATACACAAATTTTCACTTGTCCTATATGGCAAGATCAGCATTGCTATTTAAGCCAAGATCGCAAGTTCTGCCTATTCGGCACCGACATATATATGTATATATATATATATATATATATATATTATATATATTAATATATATATTATATATATATATCATATAATATATTATATTATAAATATATATATATATAATATTTTATATATATATATTCGTATGTCGTGCCGAATAGTAAAACGGGGTCAATTGCAAGAACTCATTTAAAATTAGGTCCTTTCTAAAATTTTTCTTATACGTTTAAAGATATATTTTTTTCATTAATTTTAATGTAAAAATTTTTAATTTTGCACCAAAAGAATCTTAGAAAACTTACCTAACCTCATTATAAGAAGAACAATTTATTTTAGCCTAACCCAACCAAGTATATTTTAGATTTGTTTACAATAATTTAATACTAAACAAACACAGTGAAATACATTTTTTTTCGTTAGGTTCAGAATGATTTTGGCGAAATTATTGCATACACA